GTTGCCTAGCAACAAAGAAATGCCTGGAACGGGAAGAGTAGGTCGAACACCTACGATAACAGGTCCAGTAACTAAATCTGACTTCAAACTAATTCTATGCAGGGGAACATCAATGACACCTAGCTCCACACCCTGTAATAAAACTGACCCACCAGTAGAAGTCTGCTCAGACAAAGGAAGCACGCCCTCTAACAATAACGTCTGTGCAGCACCAGTATCTCTCAAAATCTGGACAGGTTTTATTTCGCTAGAGTCACCGAGTGAAACAAATCCCTGAGACATAAAGGGCTTATAATCCTCCATAGAATCAATAGAACTGGACTGTGAACCCTGGACATCAGGAGTGTCAGAACAAATCGAAACTAAGGCTTCTCTATCACCTCTAACTGCCGCACAAGCGTGTGGTTGAGTTTTATCAAAATCATTTTTTCTCTTAAGTTTAAAGCATTCACTGATCAGATGACCCTTTTTCTTACAATAACTACAAGTAGGAATCGACCCTATTCCAGAAGATCCTTCAAAACGTCCTGGACCGGACTTAGAACCACCTTGGGATGGAGACTGGGAACTTGTGAAAGACTGAGACCCTGAACCACTCTTTTTATATGTGTCTGAATTGGTAGAATTGCTGCTAGTCTGAGATCTTGATACAAAATTCTTTTTATGAGATAGAGCATAAGTATCAGATATGACTGCTGCCTCTTCAAGAGTTTTCACATTCTTATCTTCTAAATGTGTTTTCAAATCTTGAGAAACACATTCCTTAAACTCTTCTATAGGGATGTGCGATTTAATCGGTATACCGGTATATCGCGATTTTTTGTTGCATGATACGTATCGTGATATGGAGACCTAATTACCGGTATTTAGGTACATATTATAAAGTCCAGAAATTATTCATTTATTTGTTCAATCTTTCAAATTACAATTACAGAAAGTATAAAAAATGTTGTAAAAAGTGAAAAGAACGGCATCAAAATATAATTGATTTTATATAGATGAAAATTTCAAGAAAGTAAAATTTTGTTTTTCTATCATATTTTTTAGAAAAATAATGATTTTTTCATATAAAATCATTGTAAAAACTGCTTTTAAAAGTATCTTGATATTATCATGATATTTTGGGAAAAAATCGTGATATATCGCGATATGAAATTTCTGGCGATACCCATCCCTACTCTTCTACCAGGATGACTTGGCGCAAATTAGCAAAGGTTTTATCAAGTTTCTTAGATCTAAACCAGTGATCGAATAAATCTTCTTTCTCTCGTGAAAATTCAACAAATGTTTGATTATCAAACTTCCTATACTTTCTGAATTTTTGTCTATATGCTTCAGGTACTAATTCATATGCTTTTAATATTGCTGCTTTGACCTTCTCATAGTCTGAACTCTCAGCTACCCCTAGTGCAGAGTATACCTCAGCTGCTTTGCCAACCAGTACACTTTGTAACATTGTTGACCAAACGTGTTGTGGCCATTTAAGATTTTCTGCGACTTTCTCGAATTGGGGAAAATATTTGTCTACAGATTTTTCTTGAAATTTTGGAACTAATCTGATATTTTTTGCTGCGTCAAATTCATTCTTGACAAATGACGGTTCTGGTTGGTTTTGTAATTTTAATTTCTCTAATTCAAAGTTCATTTCACGCTCTCTTTCTCGCTCTTCTCTTTCTGCTGCTAATTTGTCTAATTCAAATTTTCGTTCACGCTCTCGTTCTTCTCTTTCTCTATCTCTTTCTCGCTCTTCTCTTTCAAATCGCATTTTCTCTAACTCTAATTGAAACTGATAGTCTGTCATTTTGTAAGAGCCTAACTCTGATCTATCTGTATATTCTGGAAGATCGTATTTTTCAAAGATGTTTTCTTCTACTAGTTTGTTTGCAACCTTAATTCTAATGTCTTGCTTTCTCTGAGAGGATTTAACATCTAACCCAAAATGCAAACCTAATGCGATCAAGTCATCCTTTTTTAACGTATCAAAAACCTGAACACTTGGCGAACTAAGAAAGTTTGTGACCGAAAATACCATGTTGATTTTTGCTGGCTTATAGTCAAATTTAACAATTTAATTAACAAAATTCTGACAATGAACTGCAAAAGTGCAAGAAATTCTTGATCCCGGACGAGCCCCCAATTCTGTTATGGGTCAGAATAACCCTAAATGCCAGCAAAGATCAATCACACAGTTTAAACTTAACAATAATTTATTTACAGTAATATACAAATCATTAAGTACAAACTTAGCAAAAATCTAAAAATACATACATCAGAGTGTCCGTTGCTGCACACAATGTCCCAGTGAAATTATATATCCCTCAATGATGTTATACGACAATGTATCCACAATTATTTATGCAAATTGACAGGGTATTTATACAGTATCATAAATATATTCTAGAAATTGTAAATACATATATTCCTGAAAAGTTCTGGACATGAATAAAGTTCAAGAATGTTCTAGAAAAAATGACTAAACATATTGACCACTCTGGAATGTTCAAGAAACTTAATGTTACTAATAATATACATGATGAAATAATACAAATACAACACACCTCACAACACCCTAGACATGATTCTGTTGAATGATGTGCAGAATAACCATTTATTATAAATCTAGAATATTCTATTGTAAATACATGATATTCCTGAAAAGTTCTGGAAAAGTTCAAGAATGTTCTAGAAAAAATATTCTGTTGCCAATAATCTGTTTTTTCTGGGAGACAGAATAACCATTTATTCTGTATTCCCATTGCAAAACACAGTCCGAGAAATGCCCTCATTTCATTGGATTCCACTGGAGTCCATTTTGCTGCATACGGTGGGGGAGGGTTTTTTTCACGTTCCTGGCGAGCATAAATGTTCGTTTCATTTACTAATTTGTCAATGAGTTCATTTGTCCAAAATAGTTCAAAATATTGACCTGCTGATGCCTCTTCAGGGTGTTCTACAGTGGCCCCACCAACGTTTTTGTACCGATTCTGCATCCGGGGTTGGAAATTTTCCTTCACCCACTGGTGCTGAAAGTCGAGAAATTCTTCATCTTCGTCACTATCCTCGGCGAAAATATTCAAAATCCAGTCATCAACGTCTCCCTGGTTAACTTCACGATCAATATTTCCAGCTAAAACATCCATATCCTCTTCATCTACATCGTATTCTGCCTCAATATCGCTACCATCGCTCAAATCTTCACCTCGCTCCGCCATTTTGAAATCTTGCTCGCGTCTAAAGCATCAGTTTTCTTTGTTTCAACCAGGTTTTCCCCTCATAAATAAGTATCTAGTTTCACTTTTATGTGCGCATGATCAAGGTCTATTTCCGCTTTTCCTTAGTCTGTAAAATGTTTTAAACATCCGGGCTTTTCAATGGCATTTAAAGACCAAGTATGATGCAGGTACGAAAACTACTACTGTAGTGGTAGTTCGCGATGTGAGAGGAATACGACTACAGACGTAGATCGCGGGGAATGGGTTAAACATCTTCTTCTCAAGAAAGACAAAGCCATAATTCATCATATTTATATGGAAGCATGCTCAAGTAGTGTAGATTCAAATTTGTTCAAATCATGACCCTCAGGGTAAGGGCGGGGCCAAAATGGCCGACCAAAGTTTTTAAAGATATATATAGGAAAATTCTTTAAAAATCATTTTCTTAAATATAGCAAATCCATGATTGGTCATGGGACTACTTTTGGATTTAAACTTTACAATAAAAAGCCATTTTCTACTTTTTCCTATCCTTAGTGCTCAGGTGAGCCATGTGGCCCATGGGCCTCTTGTTTAGAATAATGATGAAAATTAAAGTCATTTCTATTTTGAAATTTATTTTAGAAATAGAGCTACCTCTGATATTAAAAATGACTGTATTTCATCCTTTTTTAGATCACCTGAGCCGAAGGCTCAAGTGAGCTTTTCTGATCACATTTTGTCCGTCGTCCGTCCGTCTATCCGTCTGTCCGTCCGTCTGTAAACTTTTCACATTTTGGACTTATTCTCAAGAACCAATGGGCCAATTTTATCCAAACTTGGTACAAAGCATCCTTGGGTGAAGGGGTGTTTAAATTTTTAAAATGAAGGGCCAAGTCCCCTTACAAGGGGAGATTATCAAGAAAAGACAAAAAAAAGGGTGGGGTCACTAAAAAATCTTCTCCTCAAGAACCACTAGGCCAGGAAAATTGAAACTTATGTGGAATCATCCTTGGGTAGTGTAGATATTAAATTGTTTAAATCATGACCCCCGGGGGTAGGGCGGGGCCACAATAGGGAATCCAAGTTTTACATAGAAATATATAGAACAAATCTTTAAAAATCTTCTTCTCAAGAACCACTGGGCCAGGAAAGCTGAAACTTATGTGGAAGCATGACCTTGGGTAGTGTAGATATTAAATTGTTAAAATCATGACCCCCCGGGGTAGGGCGGGGCCATAATAGGGAATCCAAGTTTTACATAGAAATATATAGAACAAATCTTTAAAAATCTTCTTCTCAAGAACCACTGGGCCAGGAAAGATGAAACTTATGTGGAAGCATCCTTGGGTAGTGTAGATATTAAATTCTTAAAATAAAAAAGGGAAGGGGGTTGTTGGGCATGATAGGTATAGCAAGAGGGGGAATCTGGTAAAGATCTGCATCACCCAAGTTAATCAGGTGAGCGATGTGGCCCATGGGCCTCTTGTTTATCAAATTGTTAGGTCTGGGCACACTTAATTATCTCTTTTGTTTTACAGGGCGCACTAAATTATTTTGGTTTCAATTACTTGTCAAGATGTTTCTCTACACAAGGGTCTTTGGCAGCATAGTGTACTATATCTTATTACTGTAGTAAATGGGTTGGAAAAATTTACTTGGGAATGGAAATATGATGAAAAGAAGTCATATTTACAAAAATAAGAAGAATGTGTACATTAATATATACTTAGACATTTTTAAAAATGATGGATTTCAGTCACACCCCTGACTGGTAGTCACTGCAGTTTTGTATTGATTTGTTTACAGGATCAGATATGCAGGAAGTGATTGGAACAGCTATAGCATTTTACCTGTTATCCGATGGAAAGTAAGTTTTTCTTATTTACAACACAAATCTGATTCATTCATGATGAACATACATGTGTTACTTTGAAATACAGTTTTACTACTATACATGATATATAAGCTAATTTGAGCTAAAAAGTCAAGTGAACTTTTCTGATCACTCTTCTGGTGTCTGTCTGTCTGTCTGCCTGTCTGTCAATCTGTCAATCTGTCTAGCTGTCAATCTGTCTGGCTGTCAATCTATGTGTCTGTCAATCTGTCTGTCTGTCAATCTGTCTGCCTGTCTGTCAATCTGTCTGTCTGTCAATCTGTCTGCCTGTCTGTCAATCTGTCTGTCTGTCAGTCTGTCTGCCTGTCTTTCAATCTGTCTGTCTGTCTGTCAATCTGTCTGTCTGTGAATCTGTCTGTCTGTCAATCTGTCTGCCTGTCTGTCAATCTGTCTGTCTGTCAATCTGTCTGTCTGTCTGTCTAGCTGTCTGTCTGTCAATCTGTCTGTCTGTCTGTCTGTCTATGAATCTGTCTTGCTGTCTGTCTGTCAATCTGTCTGTCTGTAAACATTCCAACTTCTTCTGGAGACTGAGGGAATGTGACTGAAATATTGCTGACTCAGCATTACACATTACATGTAAACAATTTTTCAGACACAAAAAAACTGTGCAATTTTAAACAAACTATCTAAGAAACATTCTTGGGTTAAGGAGATTAAATCCTTAAAATGGAGGACCAAACTCCCTTCCAATGGAAGATATTAAAGAAAAGGCCAAAAATAGGGTAGGGTAAAAAAAAAAATCAGAATCTTAACTTCTTCAAAATTCACAATAACAACTGGGCAAGAAAAGCTGAAACTTATTTGGAAGCATCCTAAACATGCTAAAGACAGAGAAAATTAGTGTAGATTATAAATCGTTGAATTCATGGCCCATGGGAGGAGGGGGGGTATAACTTATCCTCCATGATTCCTTTATATTTTTCCCATGGGATTTCCCACACAAAATATTGCTAGTACTGTAAGTTTCTGAATTTAAAATATTGTTTTTGTTTTATTTCGTCCTACAGGATACCTTTGTATGCGGGCGTGCTGATCACTATCGCAGACACCTTTACCTTCCTTCTCCTGGACAAGTACGGTCTACGTAAACTAGAGGCTTTCTTTGCATTCCTTATCTTCATCATGGCTGTCACATTTGGATACGAGGTAAGAGGTGTCAATCACATCATCTCGGGTCTTTCCATCAGAGGTCGGAAAAACAACCTCGAATATATTAACCATCGGATGTTAAAAGTTTATACATTTCCTATTTATTCAAAAATAGGATAGACCGAGTAACAGCGATTTTTTTCAACCCATTGGGAAAGGGTCCGGTACCGGTTCAATTTAGAAAAGTAACATAGAAGAAAAACAGGAGAATTTTTTCTCATTTATGCAAATGCAACCTATTTTGCGTTTATTCCAAATTAATTAATTTTTACTTCTTGTTTTAAAGAATAATTATCAGCAACAAGTACTTATTTTTTTTATATCAACGTCCCTTGTTTTCACATTTTCATGCTTTCAATTTGTCAAAATGTATCACACTACGATGTCTTAACCACAGGTCGCGGCCATATTATGACTCTCTCTACTTTCGATTTAAGCGGAAGTGAAACAATTAATCAATTTTTACAATGTTTTGTTTAACAAGAAATACGATGTCGTCATGGTCTGTTGCATCACAGTTGAATTGAGAATTTTTAGTCACAGAATTGGGGAAAATTAACATTTTTTGGCATTGGGAATGGTGCCGTTTATCGGTACCAGTTATATAAGGAAAAAAACGCTGAATAAGAAGTCCCTTCTATAGTATATTTTAAGTAACATCATTAATACATTGAATAAAGTTAAAATCCATCTTCCACAGGTAAAAGGTTTTTTTAAATACTCCAATTTATGTACATGTACAGTACTCAACTATAGGCACATTTATTTATTATTATTTTGAACATTGGTTGTTGTGTGTCTATTAATGCTCTTGATTGTTTACAGTATGTAATAGATAGGCCTGATCTGCCCTCCCTACTTAAGGGGATGTTTATTACGTACTGTTTTATCTGTTTACAGTATGTAATAGTTAAGCCTGATCAGTCCTCCCTCCTTACATGTAAGGGGATGTTTATACCGTACTGTTTTATATGTTTGTCTGTTTGTAGTATGTAATAGTTAAGCCGGATCAGCCCTCGTTACTTTAGGGGATGTTTATTCCGTACCGTTTTATCTATTTACAGTATGTAATAGTTAAGCCTGATCAGCCCTCGTTACTTTAGGGGATGTTTATTCCGTACCGTTTTATCTATTTACAGTATGTAATAGTTAAGCCTGATCAGCCCTCGTTACTTTAGGGGATGTTTATTCCGTACCGTTTTATCTATTTACAGTATGTAATGGTTAAGCCTGATCAGCCCGCCCTACTTAGGGGGATGTTTATTCCGTACTGTGAGGATTGCGGGCCGGAGCAGGTTCTTCAGGCCGTGGGGATTATAGGAGCCATCATCATGCCTCACAACATCTACCTCCATTCTGCCCTCGTCAAGGTGTGGACCTCTTCATTAAAATCTTAATAAACAATATGGCACAGAGTTTATGCTAATAACTTAGAAAAATCAGGCATTTTTTGTTTATCTGTTTCTCTCTAGACTTTAATTCCCTTATTTTTTCCCCCATTTAATAGCTTTTTCTAAATTCCTTCTTAAGAGGCCATGCCAATAAGCATTGAGCTTCACCTTATATAATCATGGAAAGTGGAAAAATTTATTTCTTGCTCAAATTTTGTGAACATGATGCATATGATTAGTCTTTCAAAAAAATTTATCTACCCGGGCATATGACCTCTTGTTTCCATGGCAACCAGAGTATTTTGTTATACTTATCAGAGAAATATGTGAACTGGCCTATCCTGTTATAATTCATATATTTGACCTCAAAACTCTAGGTATAATTTAATAATGTGGGTCATAAAGTGCTTTGAACTATATTTCTCTATTTTATAAGTAAAATTTAATTTGTGCTTAATTTTATTAAGATTTTACCGGTAGAATTATATCCCATAAAGAGCTAAGTGGTTTGCAAATGCTGTGCAGCTTTAAAAATTTCTATATATATCTGTAGAAGGAGAATGTTCTGTTCAATATATTAAATAAATAAAATTGGGTAGACTCTTAAAACCTTAAGTAAAATATCAGATTGAATTGTTGGAAAACTCTGTTGAAAAACGATTGGATTGCCTCCCTTGCACGAGCTCTCTAGTAAAGAAGACCGGAAAGAATGGAACAGACAACAATTGAGGAAATGCGGGAGAAAAGGGAAAACTTCCAACTTGGAATACTTGGACAAAAACATGTAATGGTATGTTAAATATATATTTTTCATGTAAATTTTTGGGTAAACTTTGATAACTTTATATATTTAAAGCAAGAGTAAAGATTAGGAAGGTACCTCAAGATTATTTTTTCTATCCTATGATGTGATACAAATACTGAGTGTTGCAACGAACTTACTGCCTTACATGTATTAAATTAAAAGCAACCTGTTATATTACCACAAATGTTTTATTCTGCAGTTGTTAAATTACTCCTAATACAATTAAAGATAGATAAATGCTAATAATGAAATTTAAAATAATTTTATGCCTATGCTATTTGTGTATTAAACTGTTAAAGAGATCATGAGGTCACACTGCTGGAAATTAAGACTAATGTCCCTAATATATACACACATAAATCATTTTAACCCACCTTCTCCCCCATTTATAAATCAGAGTTTCAAAACCTAAACTATGTCCAAATCTTAGTTTTAATTAGTCTTTCATAACATCAGTGGAACAAACTGACAAATATACTTATATAGACTTATTTGCCAAATGAGTAGGGAATGGTACATAAACGAATTCAATGTGGAAAAATAGCATCAAAGTTATATATTTACCTTTATTAGGTCACCTGAGTAAACTCAGGTGACCTATTGCTATCCGTTTTCGTCCGTCGTCGTCCGTCGTTCGTCGTCCGTCGTGTGTTAACATTTGAACATTTTCAGCTTCTTCTCTGCAACCACTGAACCAATTTCAACCAAATTTGGCACAAAGCATCTATGGGTGAAGGGGAACAAAAATTGTGAATTTCATGATCCCTGCCCCCCCTGGGGCCTGAGGGGTGGGGCCAAAACCACTAAAATTAATGCAATCTTTAAAAATCTTCTTCTTTACTCCTGGACATCAAGCAGTCAAACTGTATGCATGATTGTAATCAGCATTGAGTCCTTTACCAAAATTGTGAAATTCATGGCCCTGGGGTCAGGGGTTCTAGTGCTAGGGCGGGCTAAATAAGTATATAGTGAAAATGCATTATTTCTTTGGAAATCTTCTTCTCTACTCCTGGGTATTAAATAAACCAACTAAGTACATAGTTATGATGAGCAAGAGTGCCTCTACCAAAATTGTGAATTTTATGGCCCCAGGGTCAGGGGTTCTGGTGTTAGGGCGGGGCTCTACTGATTATATATAAGGAAATTCATGATTTCTTTGAAAATCTTCTTCTCTGACCCTGGGTATTAAATATACTAACTAAGTGCATAGTTATGATGAGCATGAGTGCCTCTACCAAAATTGTGAATTTTATGGCCCCAGGGTCCAGGGTTCTGGTGTTAGGGCTGGGCTCTATTGATTATATATAGTGAAAATACATGATTTCTTTGAAAATCTTCTTCTCTGCCCCTGGGTATTAAATATACTAACTAAGTGCATAGTTATGATGAGCATGAGTGCCTCTACCAAAATTGTGAATTTTATGGCCCCAGGGTCAAGGGCTCTGGTGTTGGGGGGGGGGGCTCTATTGATTATATAGTGAAAATACATGAATTCTTTGAAAATCTTCTACTCTGCTCCTAGGTATTAAATAAACAAACTAAGTGCATAGTTATGATGAGCAAGAGTGACTCAACCAAAATTGTGAATTTTATGGCTCAAGGGTTCTGGTGTTAGGGCGGGGCTCTATAGATTATATATAGTAAAAATACATGAATTCTTTGAAAATCTTCTTCTCTGCTCCTAGGTATTAAATAAACTAACTAAGTGCAATGATGAGCAAGAGTGCTTTTACCAAAATTGTGAATTTTATGGTCCCAGGGTCAGGGTTTCTGGTGTTAGGGCAGGCTATTGAAAATACATGAATTCTTTGAAAATCTTCTTCTCTGCTCCTAGGAATTAAATAAACTAAGTACATAATTATGATGAGCAAGAATGCCTCTTTTAAAATTATGAATTTTATGGCCCCAGGGTCAGGGGTTCTGGTGTTAGGGGGCGGGGCTCAATTGATTATATAATGAAAATACATTAAATATTTGAAATTTTTTTCTTTGTCTCTGGGTATAAAGCAGATGAACTACCTTTATAGTTATGATGAGCAAGGGCCCTAATCTTGCAGAATTGTGAATTTCAAAGCCCCAGGGTCAGGGGTGGGGTGGGGGCTCTACTTATATACTGAAAATGAATTTATTGTTTGAAATCTGCTCTTTTGTATTTATAAAACATTTATTTTTTGATATTAAGGGTGCCTTTTTGAAATTTGTGCAATGTGTGGACCTAGGGTCAGGGGTTTATGTCACAGTGTTAGGGGCACTACTGGTTAGTTGGAATGCATTTTTGTTCCCCTACCCTGAATATGGGTATTCAGTAACCAAGCTAAGCAACTGCTAAGTGTATTGTTATGATGATAAATGGTGCCTCTTTCAAAATTGTGAATGTCATATAGCATCTGGCTTAAAACATGAATCAAATTCAATAACTGGAAAATTGTTGCATAATGCTCAGGTGACCTATAAGGCCCGTGGGCCTCTTGTATTTTAGATGAAATATATTACTTAATGACACAAAGAAAAGTTATTCTACATCCCCCCCAAAAAAAAGAGAAAACCAAATTGGAATCTGTAAATTCTATATGAAAGGAAGCAAGATTGATAACGTTTAGGTAGTTCATAGATCAATTTGTCTGCTCATGAATGTTAATGAACATAAAAGTTTGATTAAAATTAATGAATTAAAAAAACAACTGGGATTACATTGTACAATTCCATTATATTTATAAAATTTTATGATAAAGTAGTCAATAAATTATCTTACCACCCCACCCCTTATCTTCAGGAAAACAGACCTCATTAATTCATATTATTTGCTTAAAAGAGTCAAAATATACATATGTAAATTATGACGAAGGAATTAAGTAATGTTTGTCTTTGAGAATTGAACCACCCCACTTCAACTTTAAAATCCAGAACTCCTATATATTATGAAGTTTGTTCATCTGCATTGTTCTACTGTCTAACTGATTCATGCTAATTATTTACATTGACTAGCATAGTGGGAATTGCATACATATATAATGGTTATGCAGCCTTCACAGAAGATAGTATGTACATGTAGGATTAATACATAAATTTGTTTGTTTGTTTTTGTTTTTTTTTACAGCAAAAGGTAGTTGAAGATAACATCCTGTTGCTCTAAAGAAGCCACTGGAGGAAATCCACATGTGTCTTGTTTCGAACAATAATTTAAGTTTTAAATATAATTGTTTTACCATGTTCCATATCAATTGCCACATAGCTGTCTAAAAAACATCTATCCGCAGAAGTGAATGTGAAGGAATTGAATGGAGGACTATGTGTGTTATGTATTTTTTATACGTCCGTCTTAAGACGGGACGTATTATGTTATAGGCTTCGTGTCCGTCCGTCTGTCTGTCTGTCTCTCTGTCCGTCTGTTAGCTTTTCTCGTGTCCTGCTCATAACTTTAATACTATAAGGCCTAGAGTTGCCAAACTTTGTCAGCTGATACATCTTGGGTAGAAGGTGTGTCGCGCACAAAAAGTAGGTCACTCTGACCTTTAATAAAGATGCTATAGCCAAATATGGAAAAATCCTGTCCGGCTCATAACTAGAAAACTATGAGACCTAGAGCTTTCAAACTTGGCAAAAGTATACAGCTAAGGTAGAAGATGTGTCGCGGTCTATTTCAAGGTCACTGTGACCTTTAATTTAAGTGAATTTTTTTAAAAAACTAAGTCTTTTAAATTTTAAACTTCATAATCCTAAAAAATGTAAAAATATAGTTGTATCCTTATTAAAAAATGTTAAATTAAGTAAAAACTTATTTTTTCATTATATACTTTACAGCAATCTGTAACAAATGTTTATGCTTTGAGAGGAATTCAGTTTGTCCCATGGGCATAATTATCAAGCACTGGTCAAGAAGAATTTTGATAGCAGAAACTTGCATGTCAAATTAGAGAGAAATTAATGAGTTTATTGTCAGGAGCTAAGACCATCTCTAGATCTGATGCAGCAGTGTTATCTTAATTTATCTCTTGAGAGTTAGGCAAAAAGAAATGGCCTCATAGTTGCTTGTGTTAATTAAGAGTTCTTGATGGCTAGTCCAGATAAAGATCTTCCAATTGGTGTAATGTAATTAAAACAAATTTATGTTTTAGTGTATGATTAAAACTAGATTAGTATTGTATAATATAATTAAAACTAATTATTAATATACATGTGTGCATTGAGAAAAAAATATATGTTTCAATTTTTATATATATTTGCAACAAATTGCAGTCATGTCTCACTTAGAATTTTATAGTCTGAAGAAAATATAATTTATGTTTGATTTTTTTTTTATTAAACTAGCATTTCTATTATTTCATAAAATATGCAATAAATAATTTAAGTTTAAGTAAGCTGCAGATGGATATTTGTTATGCTCTAACACAACCAGTTTAGAGTTATATGATGTATTTGTTATAATCAATCCCTACACTGCAAGTCTCTTAGAGATGTATGATAAGAAATGGAAATTAAATCATTGAAATCTGTGTCAATCGAATCTGTTAATCAAGGCTACCTGATTTTCTTGCATCCTAACCAATTTATGATTATTGAACAATATTTGACGGGCGTATCATGCTGTGGCGGGGCACTTTATTTTTAAATATGATATGGAGAGTTAATTCATGTAAATGCCCAAATCACAGTTAAAACCTAAACCTGCCTGGAGTCTTTGTATTAATTTTTTAGCATTTTTTTAGCATCATATCTGTATAAACTAAATTTTAAAAGAATAAATATTCAAAGAACAGAATATCATGCTTTTTTTTAAATATTAAAAGAAATCTTGTATTTTTGAGCTATTAGGAAGTGGGACTTTCAAGAATAAGTAGCCACTAAAATTTTATTTTTGATTTTTAGGATTTTCCAAGTTAAAATGGGGGATTTGGGAGAACATTCTGATTTTATGTATTACCAGGTATTGTCTTAGGCATGTTAAGGAGTATTTGTCAAGAGTTGAAGCATTATTCATACACTGAAAAGAAATCTCCTTCCTAAAAAGAAAATGAAGATTGTGCTATGCAAAGAGGACAAATTATATTTTTTAATTTACTTTATTTAAAAAAAAAACAACAAAAAAACTAGAAATATGTTCATAGGGCATGAATACCCTGTTGAGGTTATATTAGTAATGCAACATGAAAATTTGAATGAGTGTGTGAAATTTGATCAGAATATCTTGATTAGTGATGCAGTTGAATCGCTTACATCAGTATGTATCAGCATAATGAAGTTTGACACTAATTTCAGAAAAGTGAGGTCAAAGGAAAAGCCAAGGTCAAAAAATGTTGATGCAGTTGAAAAGCTCTAATCAGTATGTATCAGCATATGAAGTTGCAGAAAATATTATGAATGGGTTTCTTTAAAACAGATTGATACATAATTTGATGGAAGTGAGGTCAAGGACAAATGAAAGGACAAGGTCAAATATGTTGATGCAGTTGAATTGCTTACATGATAAATATGTATGTATCAGCATAGGAAGTTTGGTTAAAATATCTTGGATGGTTTCTTTGAAACTGAGCTAAACTCAAAGTGTGTCGGAAGGAAGGACAAAAGACAAACATGTCAAACGCTATATGCCAGCCCCTGCTATAGTCATGGCAGGGCATAAATTAAAAACCAGGGAGGGGGGGGGGGTTGTTGTGACCTGAACTCTTAGGGTTTTAACACAATGTGGTCAAATTAATTTTTGTTAAATAAAGTTTATTCTAGTCTGACATGAATGACATAAGCAAAGCTGGGGGGGGGGGGGGGGGGGGGGATAAAGTAGATTTTTCATTGCATTTTCCTGTAAGTGCTTTCAGTACATGTAGTAGTATATTAAAGAAGAAACTTTTAAAGGGGAATTAGTCATAACTGTTCTTAATGGGCTTTTCTGTTTTTTTTTTTTTTTTTAATTTTGCTGTTCTTTGGAATTCATTATCTTAAACAGTATATAGTATACTGCATACTGTAGAGCAGAAAAAATCTTAGGGAACATCAAGGGTATTTTTAATCATGTTGAAGCATCAATATTTAGTGTTGACAAAAGGTTGATCATGATGAATTACTTTGCAAATGTTTCAAATACTAAGTACATGTATTTCAACAACAGGCCTTAACATTTAAAATTATTAACATGGACCTCAAGCGACTGACCTTGTCACTTTGGTCAAGGTCAACAGTAGAACATGAATTTCTCTTCTTGAAAATCACAAACACTGTGTATCAATGTATGAAATATTCAAAGCAGGGTTCAAAATATCAAGAACCATGTAGATTTAGTTAAGAAATTATTAGACATAGAATATATAATAAAGAATAGTTTGACCTTGAGGCTCAAGTGAGCTTTTCTGATCACATTTTGTCCGGTGTTGGTCTGTCCGTCTGTCTAGCTGTCAGTCTGTCTGTCTGTCCATCTGTCTGTAAACTTTTCACATTTTCCACTTCTTCTCAAGAACCACTGGGCCAATTTCAACCAAACTTGCCACAAAGCATCCTTGGGTGAAGGGAATTCAAGTTTGTGCAAATGAAGGGCCACACCCTTTTCCAAGGGGAGATAATTATGAATTAGTGAAAAATTATTGGCATTCAAAAAAAAATCTTCTTCTCAAGAACCATTAGGCCAGCAAAGTTGAAACTCATGTGGTATCATCCTCAGGTAGTGTAGATTCAAGTTTGTTCAAATCATGACCCCCTGGGGTTGGGTGGGGCCACAATGGCAGACCAAAGTTTTACATAGATTTATACAGGAAAATTCTTGAAAAATCTTCTTCTCAAGAAATAAAAAGCCATGATTGGTCATACTTATATGGAAGCATCCTCAGGTAGTGTAGATTCAAGTTTGTTCAAATCATGACCCCCAGGGGTAGGGCGGGGCCACAATGGCTGACCAAAGTTTTACATAGAAATATATAGGAAAATTCTTAAAAAATCTTCTTCTCAAGAATAACAAAGCCATGATTGGTCATTTTATATGGAACCATCCTCAGATAGTGTAGATTCAAGTTTGTTCAGATCATAACCCCCCGGAGGTAGTTTGGGGCCACAATGGCCTACCAAAGTTTTACAGATAAATATATAGGAAAATTCTTTAAAAATCTTCTTCTCAAGAATAACAAAGCCATGATTGGTCGTATTTATATGGAAGCACCCCTAGGTAGTGTAGATTCAAGTTTGTTCAAATCATGACTCCGCACGGGGTAGGGCGGGGCCAAAATGACCGACCACAGTTTTACATAGATATAAATAGGAAAATTCTTGAAAAATCATCTTCTCAATAATCGTAAAGCCATGATTGGTTATGGGACTTCTTTTGGATTAAAATTTTTCAATAATAAACCAATTTTCTACTTTTTCCTAACCACAGTGCTCAGGTGAGCGATGTAGCCCATGGGCCTCTTGTTTTGATTAACCAAATACTAATTTTGTTCTTGAACTGTCTAACAGGACCATGCAGCTTGAAAATTATGATGCAAAAAATAAAGAGCAATATCTGATAAATGCATCAAATGGCCCCTTAAAATGAATATCTTTATTTTACTTTATTTGTAGCTTTAATTTGTTCAGCTATACATGCAACCTTTATTAGTCATTTTCAAATTGATCAAAATGCGCCTAATACAGAAATTATGTATGTTCTTTACTGCACTCTGTTTCCCATAAGACAAAACATCAAATAGGCGTATTTTTTGCCTTTTTTGGTTAGATAGCAAAAATAGCATTATTTCTCATGTCATTTTCAGCCAGTGAGTGCATATAAATATGAAAAATATTTGGAAATATTTCAAGTGTATCCTCTTCTTCAAATTTAATATCAATCAAACATATCTCAATATCATTCTAAAATGTTGATTTTCAGGAGGCCAAAATTGGCTCTTATCACATATAGTCCTTTATAATTTGACATTGAAGTCAAAGGTCAAGGTGAAAAGAAGGAAATATTTCTAATATATCCTCCTCTTCAAATTAAATATCAAATATTTCTTAATATCATTCTAAAATGTTGATTTTTAGGGGGGCAAAATTGGCTCTTATCATGTATAGTCCTTTATAATTTGACATTGAAGTCAAAGGTCAAGGTGAAAAGAAGGTCATGGTATTTTATGACTCATTTTCATGCCAGATGCACCAATCTGTTACATTTGACATTGTTTCTTATAGGATAAATTACTTATAATACCATAACTATTTGCAGGAAATCATCTATAAATGCCTAAATTTGCATATCTTTGAATCTCCATAGCAACATTGTTTTTGATTGTCTACCCAATTTTATTTTTTTAATTCTTTAATTAACCCAACCCTAACAAAATCACACTAAAGAGTTTATAAGTAGTTGCACAGCATTTTTTTAAAAGCCTTTCAAAAAGTGGTGCAAATTCAACTATTTTTTTGTTCAAATCATATCTCTTCTTCACATCACCATAGCAACGTACTGAAAAAATGTAATCATACTTAGTTGGTCACCTAAGAACTTAGAATTAAGTCCTCTTTAAGGAATGAGTAATTACAAACAATCTTTTGACAACATTTATGTGCATATATACTCTTTTTATGGCAATATTTGCCTGTTTTGAAGGTAAAAAATCTATTTTGGTAACTAAGGAAATGTTTTTCCTTGGATACGACAGTGTCGTTATGGTTAAAATCAGTATTTTTGTATTTTTTTGTTTAATTGTGATGGAAATAATCCATATACACTGATTTCAAGAAAATTAAAATTTTTGACTTTCCATTCAAAGCTCAATGCTTACTGGCATGGCCTCTTAATATACCATACATTTATCATGGTAAGGGATATATTCTTTAGTACACCTTGCCTCTTTTCATACATTCAAAATATAAGAAATCAATGCACAAGATGAAAGACATATTAGGTAAAATACACTTTTCTGTCATTGTGTATTTCTTATTGTATAGTAAGTGACTTAAATATCTCATCTTTTTTTAGTCTCGAGATGTAGATCGATCTCGGAGGGATCACGTCCGAGAAGCCAATAAGTACTTTTTCGTGGAGGCAGCCATTGCGTTGTTTGTATCATTCCTCATTAATGTGTTTGTGACTGCAGTATTCGCTGAAGGATTCTACGGGAAAAATGTCACAGAAGTGGTAATTAATGGTCAAATATTAATTTTTTACCACAGTTGAGGAATTTTATTTGTATGATTTCTCTGATTAGTTTATAGAAATATCAATTATTTAAATGAGAGTTGTTTAATTTTGTTTTCAGTATGACAACTGTTTAAAAGTTGGTAGCCCTCATGCATCCATTTTCAATGTAAGTATCAAGTAAAGGATGTAGATTCATAACATTGTGAGTTAAGTAAGTCTTCCATGTTCGTGATGTTGCTAATTCTGTTAAAATTAGAAGGATTCATGCAATGATTGAGATCTGACAACTTTTCTGCTTTTCTTTCATACAAACTTTCTTAAACCATGGCAGGTATTGTGGAATAGTATATATATAGGGACAAAGTTTTAAATCTGTATTATCCGGCTTTATATTGATTACATTTGATAATGTATTTTAATTGTTATATAATTATATATGTATTATATACACACTGAATTGTCAAAGACTTTTTTTCCCTGATCTTGAACAGGAGTACACTGTGTGTGATCAGTGGGCAGGGGATGCTCACTCCTTCGTGGCACCTGATTTTTTGGAGTTCCATGCTTGATTCACAAAATTTTGAAAAATTCAGTAACTTGTTTTGAATTTTTTGTTTATAATTTAATTTCAGACCACTAAACTGGATGTTGATATATTTCGAGGGGTGAGTATACAGTAGTTTGCTTGAATATGGGAACCCATAAATTTAAATTCATTTTGTTTAATTTTTTTTTTCAAAAAGAGACATATTAAAGTTTTGCTACCAATTAATATTCATGCACACTTCCCCTTCTGGCTGTAAAGAAGAATGAAAAGCAAAATATTATCAATGTGATACAAGAAATATTTAGTGAATCTTTATATTGTGTGAAATAAAACCGAATGTTAATTTCTAGCTATTCATCATGTTAAATTTATAATAGCTCTGTACTCTGTGGTAATAAGTTGAAATAGGTGTATCTGTTCTTGTCATGTACTTGTCCAGTAATTTGCATTTACTATCAGAATTCATTTAATATAATCTTTGCAATAATATTAACATGTACCTTAATTATCAGATTTTTAAATACTGGTAAAAAATCAATGTTTTACATGGATGATGAGCATGTTACTGAAATTTACCAAGATCAAAGAATGAATAAAGATTGATGAGTGATCAGCAATTCTCCAAAACATTGCTGAAATACTGCCAATGTGATTTCAAGCTATCAATTTCATAATCGCTCTGAATTGAACTGCGAAACTCATACATTTATTCAGTTTCTGGGATTTGTCAAATTTAGGAAGCTGCAACATATTAAATCTTGTCTGTAAAACTAAAACAGGAGGAATTTCTGTCAAAGTGAAGAAAGCTGACTTGAAAAAAAATAATTTTTGAATTACAGGGCGTGTTTCTTGGTTGTCAGTTTGGGTTGGCAGCTATGTATATTTGGGCTGTGGGAATTCTAGCTGCAGGTCAAAGTTCAACAATGACTGGAACCTACACAGGACAATTTGTGATGGAGGTATATTGCACAATAACTTCAATTTCTAAAGAAATTCATAATACACAAATATGAGAGAAAATAGTTGAATAACTAGATACGAAACTCATTGCGAGCAACGAGTGGTCTTCCGTCCAATTCTGAAAAAAATGAAAACGTAAAATCAAACTGAAAAAGTGATTTAAAAGATTGGACTTATGGGGGATTGAACCTGGGTGGCCGGTGTGAAATCCCTTACCCATTACACCTTTGGGAACCCCTTCAAATTTAAAATGCCATATCAGGAGATTGCCTTTTTATACCCCCGCAAACGAAGTTTTGGGGGGTATATAGGAATCACCTTGTCTGTCCGTACGTCTGTCCGTCTGTCTGTGCAATCGTGTTCGGTCCATATCTTTCTTACAGAGAGACATTAGAATCTACTACTCCACACAAAGATTGCCCATGACCTAAGGGTGTGTCATGACCTTGACCCAAGGTCATTTGGGGAAGTTCAAGGTCACTGGAAGAAAAATTTCATAATTCGTGTCCGGTTCATATCTTTCTTATGGATAAACTTGGTAGGTTCTCATTTCACTCAAAGATTGCCCATGACCTAAGGATGTGTCATGACCTTGTTTTAAGGTCATTTGGGGAAGTTCAAGGTCACTGGAAGAAAAATTTCATAATTCGTGTCCGGTTCAAATTTTTTTTATGGATAAACTTGGTAGGTTCTCATTTTACACAAAGATTGTTCATGACCTAAGGGTGTGTCATGACCTTGACCCAAGGTCATTTGGGGAAGTTCAAAGTCACTGAAAGAAAAATTTCATAATTCATGTCTGGTCCATATCTTTCTTATGGATAAACTTGGTAGGTTCTCATTTCACACAACGATTTCCCATGACCTAAGGGTTTGTCATGACCTTGACCTATGGTCATTTGTGGAAGTTCAAGGTCACTGGAAGAAAAATTTCATAATTCATGTCTGGTCCATATTTTTGTTATGGATAAACTTGGTAGCTTCTCATTTTACACAAAGATTGCCCATGACCCAAGGGTGTGTCATGACCTTGACCCAAGGTCATTTGGGGAAGTTCAAGGTCACTGGAAGAAAAATTTCATAGTTCCTGTTTGAAACATATCTTTATTATGGAAAAACTTACTTCTGAAAAACCAGCAGGGGGTATTTTGTCCCATTTGGGCAGTTCTAGTTTGATTTCAACATAAATTAAATTACTTTTTTTTTTAAAATTCAGTGTGGAATCATAAAATGAGAGCTAACTTGCAAAACTTTGCCTACGAATATCACATCGGAATTTGTTACTTGAGTTTTAAGAGTAATTTTTAGGAGAGATAATCTATTACTGATGAACAAATGATACTGTTTACTTTCTTTTAATTGCTATGTATTCAACTTTCTATTCCATGCAATTCCATACACAGGCATGCCAATGGTATCTATTACTGCAATTCTGTTGTCATTTGTCTACTAGTTAAGTCGATACATTATTTCGATCGCGCTAAAATGTCACGAGTAGTTCTTAAAGCTATTCCTTTGAAATGTTTGAGCTATTGAATGGATGTGATAGCTTCAATAAAATTTAGAAATGTATGTTCTTAACACCGGAATTTCGAGCTTTAGAAAGTATATTTATCACATTGTACAAATATAATATCGTATACGGCCAAGTAATGTTAAAGCAGTGAATTTGTTAAGATTTTCCACAAGTTTTGTATCCTGTTTACCCCCAACGTGGACTCTTCCGATTAGTTTCCGATTAGTTACAGATTCATGAAAAGACTGGAATGAAAAAAAATATCTCTCTCTCCAACGGTCAAGGAATTTGATACTATTTATGTTCAATAACGTGCATTTATTACAAAAATATTCAGACAAAAGGAATAGTCTAATAGACTTTTGAGGAAAACTCGGAAATCTGAAACAGAACTGCAGCGTAATTGTGACATGTCAATCCAACGAATCCTTTACATGTCATTGATCTTTATGGTAGAAGTTTCTTTCATCCAAACGCTCGGTTGACCCTCTAGACCCCGACTTGCCTAATGGCGGAGTTTACTGGGACAGCCGCCATCTTAGCCCCGCTTCAGATTTTCAAATACGAATATCTAGTGTGTGGATTTATCAGTTCTAAAATAAATTATATATTAGGCCTTTCCAGTAGGGTTTCCATTTGTGGTAATTATATCAAAGAAAAATATTGAAAAACAAAAAAGTTGAAAAACTGCACATCTTTCGTGTAAAAATCTTTGAAATCTGTACATTCACAGCTGAGATATCGCCCTAACTATGAAAAAAAATATTAATAATAATATTAGTAGGAAACCGACGAATAACAATAAGGTCTTCCGAAGGAAGTCGGAAGACCTTAATAAGAAACAACAGAATCACTATAAGGTCTTCCGTGAAGACAGGAGACCTTAAATAGGGCATTCTCTAAGTATCAGTTGTCTTAATTGACTTGCGTGGATGATGCACCTTTAATTTGATACATGATCGTGTACATATGACCAGGGTCGCATTGTTTGCATATGTTAAGATGTTTAATTAATAGCCATGAACATGTACATGTCAAATGGTTTTTGAATTCAGTTTATGCCCAAGAAACTGTTGCTTGAACCATTGAACGTAGATCATTTAAACATTGTCATAATTATTAGACTACTAGATAAGTGGGTTTTTTTTCTTTAACATTCACTCGCTATAGAATATCAAACCTCATTCAAAAATCACATTTCCTGAGTTGAGCTTTACTATATCTAGCCCAGTGTTTACTTGATGATTTGAATGCTTTTCCAGGGTTTTCTGAATCTCAAATGGAAGCGCTGGATGCGTGTGTTATTTACTCGGAGCATTGCGATACTGCCTACCATATTTGTTGCTACATTCTCCGGGATTCAGGATTTAACGGTGATGAACGACATGTTGAATGTTTTGATGAGCCTGCAGCTACCTTTTGCCCTCATTCCGATACTCACGTTCACAAGTTCCGAAAATATCATGGGAGAGTTTAAGAATGGAAGGTATACATAGTCTATGTTTGTATATTTATATTTGAACTTAAGAATAACTTTTGATCAACTTTCAGTGCATTTAATTTTGAAGGAGGGTTGGGGTCTTGATGAACATTATAAAAATTTAAGGGTTTTTTTGGTCAGACACTGAACTATAATTAAAGGCCACTTGTCTTTTTGTAGGTTTATGTCCATATTCACGGGTGTGCTGGCTATCGTTGTGATAGGAATAAACCTGTTCTTTATATCAGAGTACATTCACGGGCTGCCTGACCATTGGGCAGTTTATCTAGCAGTGTCTACTCTAGTCCTTGTATATATTATTATTATCTTGTATCTGGTAAGTTTTCCATTTTTTATTTCACTTGATATGATTCATAAAGGAAATATGCTAGGCCACCTTTAAAAATATGTTTGCTTGCTTGTCCTCTCCCAACTCATGGTAAAATTATTCAATTGGTAGGTAGGTACTGATTATGTATATCATATACCTATACCTCTGACCTGAATATATATATAATTAAATTAATGCTGTAAATATTTTTCATTGTCCTCATGTACCATGTATTTTAAATGGTTTTGAGTGAATAAATGAACTTGAACTTGCAAATCCAATCTTAAATTATAATAATCTGAAGATTACCGTATAAGTGGAAATTTTAGCGAGACGCAAATTTAACGATTTGTCCTGAAAAACTGGTAATTTATTTTTAACGAGATGTTATTTTAGCGATTTTAAAATGAAGGTTAAAGAAGTTATAACAAATAAAATGCAATTAATGTTCAGCGATATTCAATTTTAGCAATCTCGTTACCCTCGCTAATAATGCCAAAATTAAATCCTTGCTAAAAATTCTACTTATACGGTAATTGAAAACTGGCATTCCAAGGAAATGTGACCCTGTGGAAAAATTAAAGTACACTTTAATTAAACATGTTAAACAGGCAGAGTATGTCATATAGAAAAGTCATTATTTATAGCTTTGTTTGATAATTAAATGTTATTTACCTTCCATCCCTATTGAAAATTATTTAGATACAAATAATTAATATTAAAATAATAAAAATTGAGTAAAAAATTGATTTGACAATCATTTTCATTTGATGATTCAGTCCAGTTGAATATTTAACTTAATTATCTTCTTAATTTTAATTGTAGATTTGGTTTTGTTTAATAACCAATGGAATCCAGTTCCTTGAAAGAATACCTGTAAGTCATTAAAAAAATTTCTTTTCTGCGTAATTATCACTTCACTTTATGTATAATTTACTGCTTTTTTTTTTTAGAGAAAATACACATTTTAGACCATTTTACATGTAAACTGGTCATACATGTACGTTGTATCAGCTGTATATTTCTTAAGGATGGAAGCCAGAGCACTGTAATATCTATCTCAATCAAATTGCCCTTGTCAATGAAATTAAAATGTTTATTTGATAGATAGGAAATTCTGCTGTGGATGAAACGACCCCACTTCTGTGATTTCAAAGGTTTCTTTTTGTCTAGTTTATTATGTTATTTGCATGCTTTTATTTCTGTTTTCATATCTGTATTTTTATTTTACTGTATACAGGGTTATTTTCACCCCGTCTTATTTTCGCCCTTTCACACTTGCAAACAATTTTGCAACGTTTTAAATTCGCCCAATCATAGTTTTGTTTAAGAAATTATACTGTATTCTTTGAATTCGCCGCGTTTTAAATTCGTCCAAAAGATCGTAGGGCGAAAGGGGCGAAAATAAAACGGGGGCGAAAATTTCCCTGTATACAGTATTTAATTTTTTGCATGTTTGCAGTGACTGATGTTGTAGTATATTTGAAAACCTATACCAACCTCAGTTCTTGTTTTGATGATAATTAAATGACAGAAAAACACAAGAATTTCTCTCAAAACAGAAAAAATCATTAATCTTCTACTCAAGCCCTCAAACCTTATGAAAGCATAAAGAAAGAAAGAATATATGACAATTTCTTGATTAATGTCGGAGTAGAAAATGGAAATGTTCACTGATTATTCAAATTAACACATTGAAGAATTCTCCTGAAAACTATTTGTTTTGTTTTGTTTGTTTTGTTTTGTTTTTTTTGTTTTACATCAACCATGACTTTTTTCTTTTTGGAATATTTTAATTTGCTATTATTTAGTGAGTATGAGGTGTATGTAAATAAGTGATGATTTCTTGAAGAGTTTGGGAAAATTATTTATTAAGAAGGCAGGGGAAAAATAGAGTCAAGAGAAGACACAACCTTCACTTTGAAAGTTTGGATTTGCTTCAAATCATAGAAAGACCCTAAAAAAAATTGCATTGAATCAGAATCACAGCATTTTGTATTCACATGTTTCTGAAAGCAACTGATCTGACAGCTTAAATTAATGAAATTTTCATGAATGAAACTAATGTTGTTGATGTTATGCCTTGTAAATACGTGTAATAGACAATATCTAAGTTATTTCTCATTATTTTATGGTATTTCTCATTAATTCCACTCGTGTTAAAGTTAAAAAATATAGTTATGAGTGACAATGAATATTAAATAGATGTCAAATATCTAAAAGTGTACCAAATATTCATTTCATTTGTAATAATTCTGAAGAGTTTCAAGCACAAGTGCTTAAAGAAATATCTGAAAATATACAAAATATTCATTTCACAAGTAAAATAATTATGAAGAGTTTCAAGTACTAGTGCTTAAAGAAATATCTGAAAATATACAAAATATATATTTCATTTATAACATAATTCAGGAAAGTTTAAAGCTCAAAAGCTTAAAGGACTATCTGAAAATATACAAAATATTCATTTCATTTATAATCCTCAAGAGTTTCAAGCACAAGTGCTATAAAGAAATTATTATCAAGTTGAACATTCTTTATTTTTTTAGTGTTTTACCTTCCTGAAACCAAGAGACACTTCGTACATTCTCACTGAGAGTGTGTCTGGCTCTAGATTAGACTTGCAGGAAGACATTCCTGACTTTGGGTCCACGTCCACTACTGCCGTCAACGATGAAAGTTAAAGCTAACCAACGAAGATCTTCCAGGTTTCTGCCTACACTTCAATAAAGAAATCATGAACAACTTCAACTACTGTCATCATTAACCAAAGGGAGATCTTCCAGATTCTTTCTCCACTTCAATAATGAAATCATGAAGAACTTCAACTTCTGTCATTATTTACCAAGGAGGATCTTCCAGTTTTCTGTCTCCACTTCAATGAAGAAATCATGAAGAACTTTACCTACTGCCAATCTGTCATCATTAACCAATTTGAAAGGAGATCTTCCAAATTTTGTCTCCACATTAATGAAGAAATCAGGAAGAACTTTTCCTTGGTTATCATAAACCAACGAAGATCTTTCAGATTATTTCTAACATCTTTTACATCTTTTATAAATAGATTATTATTAATAATTTAAAATAGTTTGATACTCTGTATTTCTACAGTGATCTCAAGACGGTGCTTATTACATCAACTAGATATATATATGTTCAATTGATGAAGATTAAGATACTTATTATTTTTCACATGAGGTTAAAATCTGGGATGTGTGTTAATCATCATCCCTTTTAAACAATAATTGAAGCAAACGTTCAATCCAATTCAATGAATAAAATATATTTTAAACTAAAAATTAAAAGTGATTTCTTAAACACTAGTTAATTAGATTGATAAAAAAAAGTATTTTCAGAAGATACAAATGAAGGTAATTTTATGTATATTTTTTGAAGATACAAATGAACTTTTAAGTTAATTTAATGTATCAAATATATTAGGTATATGTCTTTTCAGACAACTCATAATTAGGAACAAATGAAATTGTAAAATACTCTAAGTGATATTTTTTCACATTTACATGGAATCATACGTTCTGTTCAATATGCAGGTAGAGAAACTCCTGGATTACTCTTGTATGTCTTCAATGTACTTTAAGATGGTTGGTCCAAATTTCTATGGAACATTTGATTATTACCGCTTGCATATTGGAAATGAATTCTACGCAGAAAAAAAAATATATCTAGTGCATCAGTGGATTAGAGTTGCATATTTATCTGTTTATCAAATTTCATTTGTTTCAAAGAAATAAGTTACAGTGTATTTATTAGTTTTTTATGATATTGTCATTTACAACTATTTTTCATAATCATAATGGTCGTATGGACATTTGTTAAACTTAATTAGTCTTTAATGGTGAGCTTTTTTATACATGTATATTCAATCCAAATAGAGACTATCAAAGTCAGTAAAGGATAAAAGTAAGGATAAGATATGTACAGTAAAACTCGGTTATAACGAAGTCACTGGGACTTCTTAAATTACTTCGCTATATCTGTAATTCGTTATATCCGTTTAAGAAATTCGTTAAATTGATACATCTGGGGATCCAAGACAACTTCGCTATATCCGTGAATTCGCAATATCTGTGTTCGTACCAACCGAGTTTTACTGTATATCATAAAAGAAAGTTGACAGGTGGCGGTACTTATTACATTTTAAATTAAGGATACATTGTGTTAACTTTTTCTTGTATATGTATGAAAAGTCAATTGCATTTTGTTTTGTGGCATTTATTAATAAGTCTGTTGAAATTCATGCTTTGTTTAGACTGAATCTTCTTTTTCAACTTTAATAAACATAATCGGCCAATTTATTTAAGATGGTGGTACTTACATTTCAAATTTAGGATACATTGTTTTAACTTTTTAGCTCACCTTTTCAAGGCTGTTTTCTGTTCACATTTTGCAGGTAGAGAAACTCTTGGATTATTCTTGTCCGTCTGTAAACTTTTCACATTTTCGACTTCTTCTCAAGAACCACTCGGCCAATTTTGACCAAACTTGGTACAAAGCATCCTTGGGTAAAGGGGAATTTAAATTGTAAAAATGAAGGGACATATCCCCTCGCAAGGGGAGATAATCAAGAAAAGACAAAAATAGGGTGGGGTCATTAAAAAATCTTCTTCTCAAGAACCACTGGGCCAGTAAAGCTGAAACTTATGTGGAAGCATCCTGGGGTAGTTAGATTCAAATTGTTCAAATCATGACCCCCGGGGGAAGGGCGGGGCCACAAAAATCAAAGTTTTACATAGAAATATATAGGAAAAATCTTTGAAAATCTTCTTCTCAAGAACCACTGGGCCAGAAAAGCTTTATATGGAAGCATTCTGGTATAGTGTATTTTGTTCAAATCATGACCCCCAGGGTCGGGGCCACAATGGGGAATCAAAGTTTTACATAGAAATATATAGGAAAATTCTTTGAAAATCTTCTTCTCAAGAACCACTGGGCCAGAAAAGCTTTTATGTGGAAGCATCCTGGTATAATGTAGATTCTAAATTGTTCAAATCATGACCCCAAGGGAAAGGGCGGGGCCACATTGGGGAATCAAAGTTTTACATAGAAATATATAGGAAAATTCTTTGAAAATCTTCTTCTCAAGAACCACTGGGCCAGAAAAGCTGAAACTTATGTGGAAGCATCCTGGTATAATGTAGATTCTAAATTGTTCAAATCATGGCCCCCAAATTTATGGGGCCACAATGGGTGTTAACTTTATACAGAAATATATAGGAAAAATCTTTGAAAATCTTCTTCTCAAGAACCACTGGGCCAGAAAAAGCTGAAACTTATGTGGAAGCATCCTGGTATAGTGTAGATTCTAAATTGTTCATCATGACCCCCAGGGAAAGGGCGGGGCCACAATGGGGTATCAAATTTTTACATAGAAATATATAGGAAAAATCTTTGAAACTCTTCTTCTCAAGAACCACTGGGCCAGAAAAGCTGAAACTTGTGTGGAAGCATCCTGGTAAAATGTATTCTAAATTGTTCAAATCATGACCCCCAGGGAAAGGGCGGGGCCACAATGGGGTATCAAATTTTTACATAGAAATATATAGGAAAAATCTTTGAAAATCTTCTTCTCAAGAACCACTGGGCCAGAAAAAGTGAAGCTTATGTGGAAGCATTCTGGGGTAGTGTAAATTCTAAATTGTAGGAATCATGACCCTCAAGGGCATTATAGGGAATCAAAGTTTTACATAGAAATATATAGGAAAAATCTTTGAAAATCTTCTTATTGGGAACCACTGGGCCAAAAAGCTGAAACATATGTGCCCATGGAAGGATCATGGGGTAGTGTAGATTTCAAAATGTCTAAATTATGATCAGTGGGGTAGGGTTTTTTATAACAAGGGTGAAATCTGGTAAAGAACAGAATGGTCAAAGTTTCTCAGGTGAGCGATGTGGCCCATGGGCCTCTTGTTCTTGTTCACGTATGAAAAGTCGACTGCATTTTGTTTTGTGGCATTTATTGATAAGTCTATTAAAATTCATGCATTGTCTTTAATAAATATTAGAACTAAAAAAAATGTCCTAAGCAGGCCCTCCAGAGTTCCAATAGTACATGTTCGTCATAACAATATTTGAAAAAAAACTTTTACTATAGATTTTTTTGCCATGAAACAAAAATAAAGTTGCAGTTCTGAATTCAATGTATTCTCACATTCCAAAATACGAAGATGTTGGTGATAGTGGTACCTGATATTATGCTTTTATATTAATATATTAATGCAATATTTTTTATTAATATATAAATTA